TTTTAATTATTATTTAAACATATTAAAAAGTTTTACGCTCATTATTAATAGAGATTGAAACTAAATATTTTTTTGTTTCGAAGTTGAAATCAAGGCATATTCACTGCCAAAAGTCAGTTAAAAATTTTCCATATTATTCGTTATTTCTTATTTTATTCAAAGTTTTTGGTCAAATTCTTAATTTTCTCTCAAACCGTATACTTTTTTTGTGTAGATAGTATTTATTTACCTCATGATATGCTGCAAAGCCCAATTAGTCACGAATTTTTAATTTTATGTACTCTTGTCTCCGATTGTACCTCCCAACTGTTTGTTTCACACATTTAACGAAAAACGGATTTTTTTCAACCCTGTTGGTCATCCTGTAAGAGTATCATCGGTAGGGTAGGTGATATGCCGCAATTGAAATTCCTTATTCCAGCACAGAGTTGTAAGCTATTATTCTAATAATGAAAACACAACGGTCCCCGAGAACAACTGCACCAAGTGGGCGACAAAGGTAATGATGTAGACAACAAGTTCTCTAGCTGCAGCTCAAGTTCCACCGACACTAGGAAAATGTGTTAATCAGACAGAAAACAGTCTCCCATTTCCCCATACCACTCGGTAACTGCTGTTCGAATGGCTTCCGTCCCATTTACGTACTCAACAATTTAATCGTAAGTGCGGAATGCATCGTTTGAGCTGCAGCCAGTGCGAATCAAACAAAAGCACAGTAACTGGAATAACGAAAACCATTTTAAATTTTAAGCTTTTATGGTAAGGCAAAAAGTTCACCGAACATAGAAATTTCACATTTCTTTGTCGACTTTTTTCTTTTTATGTCGCACAAGCGAAAATGTATAATTTGGAGAACGTTTGGAATATATTTTTTTTAACTACATCTACCCGAAAATACCAACTTCATTTCTGAAAAATTCTTACACGGAGAAAATTAAATTTTTATAACAACGCAAAAATTATAATTTTCAATTGTAAATGACTAAATTTTCCGTAGAAATAGTAGAATTTATTAGGTAACTTGTAATAATCTCAATTTTGACAAGTTTCTTTGAAAATTATTTCAAGTTTCTCAATTAATACATAATTAAATTTGTAAAATCGACTAAAATACGTAGCAAATTTATTTCTGCTGGGATTTAATTTTTACAAATTCGGATTCAAATTGTAATTTTTATTATTTTCGCTTACGCAGCAACGGGGCTAGTGGGATAAATTGTAAATATCGCTTTAATATTTACTTAAATTAAATTTTCCTTATCCATTTTCTCCGTGTAAAATCTTTTGAATAAAGCGTA